GTGACTGTTGAAGATTCCCATTTACATTTTTAGGAATTCTGTGGTTACAAACAAGAGTAAATGTGCTTTCCTTTTTTGAACTGGCAGCTATCTCGCTTTCTCTCGTACAATACTTTGGCAGGGAAGCAGGAAGCAATACTATTTGGAGTGTAGGAGAGTTCTTTTTAGAGGTGTTCTAAAGCAGGAAGCAATACTATTTGGAGTGTAGGAGAGTTCTTTTTAGAGGTGTTCTAAAGCAGGAAGCAATACTATTTGGAGTGTAGGAGAGTTCTTTTTAGAGGTGTTCTAAAGCAGGAAGCAATACTATTTGGAGTGTAGGAGAGTTCTTTTTAGAGGTGTTCTAAAGCAGGAAGCAATACTATTTGGAGTGTAGGAGAGTTCTTTTTAGAGGTGTTCTAACTCATTTGAATAAAACAGTGCAGACACTAACTTCTCAGTGTAATATGAGAAAGAAGCCCACAGCAGTTCAGTTCAGTCTTTGTTTTTCATCATTCCCTTGCAACAGGAATTGGGGATTTTGCATTATAATGCAAATACTGTTGCATTATAAATCTCATTATTTAATCATGCTTGCTGGTTCTCACTGGAATTGGGTCTAGCAATTTCTCCTATTTTATAGATGGAGTAGGCTAGGAACAACTGATCCCTAGAGTGTAGCTTGTGTTAAGCTGATAGAAAGAAAGAAACAACCTACTGGAAACTCAACTTACTTGGTTTGTTTTCTCTCCTAGGTGGCTTTGCCCTATAGGCCATACTTCTACATTGCAGCCCAGAAGGTTAGTATAATCTAAAATTGCAACCTCAGATTGATTTCAAGCCTTAAGCCATTTGGACTTCAGTCCAGTGTAATATTACCCCTGAGTAGACATTGCACTGTACTATAATATTTCATTTGTGAATGTGCCTTAAAAGTAGTAAGTTGTAAGTAAGTTCTTCCTTGATAACTGCTGTGGTTATTACGTGATCACAGGTGCTAGCGCCTGGTGCGCTGAGAGATTTGTGTAGAAATGTTAAGGCTCTTCAGGAACATATTAGCAATGACAAACTGTCTTTTCCTGAAAATTTGCTCATCATCAATTGCAGCAGAGTGATGGCTGTGTTTTAGCTGTATTCTTAGTTCAAGGAGGCAGCAGCTGGATAAGGTCAGCTCATCGTTCCCAGTATCCTTTGCAAATGTTCATAGACACTTTGTTAGGCCCGTCTGCTCAGGTAGAATTTGGATGGATGTAGAAACAAGTTCTGCTTAATCCATTTAATATAAGGTGTCTTTTTAGGGTAGTGACCGAGAAGTATCATCCTTCCTTTCCAAGAAATTCCAGGGGAAAATAGCAAAATTGGAAAGTGTACCCAAAGAGGATCTGGACCTGGTGAGAAATGGATTCAATAATATTATTTTAACATTATGGCTACTTTACTTAAAGATGTAGTGCAAAAATCCTGATCCATTTTGTTTGCAAGCTGTTCCTTCCTAATATTTTTGAGGGACATGGACAGGAAATTAGAATATTCCTGAGAAACTGTTGTTGTCCCTATACCTCGCTCTTTTGCTGCTTTCCTCTCCTCCACCACTTTGCATATGGGTGGATCTACTGATCGTGAATACAGCATCTGCTTTCCTTGCAGAAGGACCAAAGCTGTTCTTGGCATCACCAGTCAAAATACCAAAAGTCATGTGGCCAATGTTGGGAAAAAAACTTGTACCACAGAGATAAGGGAATGGCTTTTGATTAGCAAAAAGAATGGAAAAGGGGCTGTAATATGTATGACAATGTAACAAAATAGTAATGCATATTATTTTTGATACTTTGCTTTTATTATATTGTCTGTCTTTGCTCGGTGAGCCTTAGCTCTTTTAGTTTTGCCTCATATCGTACTCTTAATAAAGCTAACTTTAATTTAAATATTTGTTAAAACTAAATGTAGACAGATTTATGACTTACTGGTCATAAAAAGGACATTTTTAACAGCGTAAAGTGGAATTCTTTGCCATCGCTGAAGGTATTTAAGGGGTTGGACAAATTCACAGAAGATCAGACTAAGTAGCTATGAGCCTAGATGGCTCTTTGCTTCTTCCAGAATCACGGACAGCATGTCTTTTCTATGAGCTCCCATGCTTATGGGATTCCTAGACGCAAATGAATGGCCGCCATGGAATGCAGAGTGCTTTCCTGTCTGTTTGGCCTGATCTGACAGGGCTGTAATGATTCTCAAGACTCAAAGTTGCCACAGTCAGCCTGGTTTGCTTTAGCTGTTTTTAAAAATTCCTCTGTACTCCAAATGGTAGTGTAAATTGCTTTGATCCCATGTCTCAATGCGTCTCAGTGAATCTCTCAAAGCTTGACTCTGGTGTTTTGTTTTGGTTCTGTTTTGTTTTTGTTTCTTTTAGCCCAATCACCTGGTTGGCCTGAAACAAAGTTACATCAAGCTTACTTTCAACACAGTAGATGACCTGGTAAAAGTGCGCAAGGAGATCACCCCTGCTGTAAAGAAGAATAGAGAACGGGACCAAGTTTTGGACACGTACACCACCTTGCTGACTAGGTAGGGTAGTCAAAGAATAATTCCAGATCCTGGAGGAATTCCATTTTGGTTGAGCTGAGCTGCTCCAGACAGTCACTTGACTATAGCTGTGTTGCTTGTGTTGAAAGGAGCTATAGAACATAGATTATACAGTGTTGCCAGAGAACCTTCATTCGCTCATAGAAACAAACTTCCATCTTTCTAGTATATACTATCTAAAACAAATATGGAAATGTCCCTGAGCTCAAAGTTTTCTGGGCATATTAAACACACACAAGATAACATTGAATGGGGATCTGTTGTCTCCAAATTCCTCTGTGAGAGAGGGTTACCTAGCTCTTTCCCTGACTCTCAGTGCCTTTGCCTTTTCCTGGATGCATTTGGTTGATGCAGTAATATAACTTACCCGCCTCTGATAATGTTTGATTTGTCCTTTCACATAATTATTACTTCTATTACTTTTGTTTGGAGAAAGAAGATCCTCCCATGACGGGTGACTTGTCCCATTCATTTGTAGAAGCTCCGTTTGCTGCTTCTGTGGGGGATCCTCTCTCAGTTTTTGTCCTTCCTTTACTGTCCCCTTCCTCCTGGACAGAAAGAGCTCTCGTGGTAAATCCACCGTTTGTCCATTTCAGACTAAAAAGGGTTAAAGGTGGAGACAGATGTTATCACAGTAACACAAGAACCGTGTTCATGGAGCTTCTGGTATGTTCTTGCTGTTCTGGTATAGTGTAGATTCAAGAATCAACTTCCCAACTGGGGAGCAGTTTTACAAGAAGCCAGCAAGTGACAGGTTCTGTCAGATTTCTTTACCCAAGCAATAATGGAAGGTAGTGTTTAGGTAGAAGAAAGGTTATCATTTGTCCCATGTATGTAACTCCTGCATTGAAGCATCCAGAATGATGAGAGAAGGAGTCACAGGGCTCTTCCACACAGCCACGTTAATCTACATTCCTTCCATCCTTGAGTTGGTAGAAAAGTATGTAGAAAAAAGGGCACTCCCCTCAAGTCATTTAAACAGTGCAAAATAAAGCTACACTGAATTCATTGTTGGCAGAAGCAGCTGAAAATTTGCTGCCCTCATGGAACTGAAGCAGCAAGGACTTGTTTCTTTTCCAGATTAAATAGAAAGTGCCGAAGGGTAGATCAGCTGTTCTTTCATAAGACTGGTTTAGAAAAAGAACAGTAGACCCACAGAAATACCATATAGCCTGTGGGATCCCTTTCCAAAGTGCAGGTAAAGCAATAGCCAGACAGATAGCACTGGGCAAGCTAGGTGTCCAGTGTTGCTGGCAGTTCAAGTTAAAATCACCGTAGGGGAGAATGCATGCCCACAATGGCCTCAGGCAGCCAGCAGAAGCTTGGCAGGCCCCATTGCCAATATGGTTGCCAGGGCATCACAGGCCGTTCAGAGAGGAAGGTTTGTACTGGGAAAAGAGGGAGAAGACCATAACAGTGGAACAATTAAATATGGCCTTAGGCTGCCTTCACAGTCAGTCAGGGATGAATTGGAGACAACATGCTCAGGAAACATCCTTTAAAAACAAAGTATCTTTGTATTGCAGTTAGACATGAAGATGAGACCACAGAGTCACAGTTTCTTCCCTGTTGCAACCATGCTTTGCCAGTGTGCAGACAAGTCTTGTAAAACAAACTGGCTGTTTTTTTTCTAGTGCTCTCACTGGGCATAGCCTGACCCATAAGGAGGAGGAGCCCTCAAAGAAGACTGCAGACCAGATGGACAACATAGTAGACATGCGGGAGTATGATGTTCCTTACCATATCCGTCTGTCCATCGATCTGAAGATTCACGTGGTGAGTGGCAGAGGCAAGATCGGCCTTCTCATCTTGTTCAATTCCTAGCAACCAACATCACAGGCAGGTGCAGCAGTCTTCCCCAAGCTGACACTTCAGATGGGTTGGACTGCAGTTCCAGAACTCCTGCCTGAACATCAGCTGAAAATTTGAGGTGTTGTAGGCCCCCATCTTCAAATGCTGGGTTGGGGCAAGGTGGGTTTACAGTTGGATATAAAAATCTTGTACTGATATTGTGATACGCTTGGAAGGAAACGATTATTACGAACATTCCTGAAATGTGTTATTTTATTGCAAATACATAAGTCG